AGACTGGTTTATTCTATAAGTGCTAGAGATTCAAATGGTATTTTTTAAATGCAAGAATAACATGGCTTAACGTGTCTGTGTCTGGTGCAATGCAGTCCCTGTACATATACTATGCTGCATATCTAATAAAAACGGTTGAAAAATCTTTAATGAAAAGAGAACAATACACTCTATTATAGTTCTATACATATGTTTGCTTACAAAAGTTTTGCATCTTTGTTTTTTCCTCAAAACTTTAATAGTCTATAATAATTTCTTGCAATTGCATGTTGATGCCTTTTGTTCAAAGGGTAAGTACTGTGCTGCTTTAACTGGTTCTCGGCAGGCAGTTTTATACACAGCACATTCTGCTCGTAGCTATATTCATATTTTTCTCTTAAAATTGTACTTCCCTATTGTAGAACAACTAATTTAGAATTTATTATTATTTTAATAGTAAAGTATTTTTTCTATACAGATTAATACAATAACCTCTATATTATATAAGCAGAAAGATATGCAGAAAGGTTTACATTACAAATAAATATATATACTGCTATTTGTAAATAAAACTTTTTTGGTGATTAAATTAAAAAGTAGTATAATTTCAGGCTTATAATGTAAATATTGTTTAAATATAAAGCATTCAGTATTTTGCTTACAATATATTTTTAGGGATAATTTAAAATATGTAGCTTTAAAGAAGAAAGTTTCACAGATTTATAGTGGGTAAGCAGCTATTTCCACATTGTTAGGGCACAGAAGTTCCAATTGCCACATTAATCAAAGTATTGAGACTACAAAATCCATTTCATTTAATCTCATTATTGAATAAACAGCTCTGTAGTGATGCCTATTTGTACTTGTTTCTCTAATAAAAATGCAACTGTAGCTCTCAACACAAATTAGTTTTAATTATTTAAATTATATGAATTTGTCAAACATAAATAATCTAACACCTGGTTTGCCTTCTTGTTCTCTGAAAAAATGTGTTTCATGAAAACTAGTAGAGGATGATAATAGGGAATAAAAAAGGTAGGTCTATGTATTTATTCCAATTCTATTAATTTTTAAAAAGGGCAAATGTGATTTGATTACTGTCTAGGAGGGTGAAAAAGTAGTCTGTCTTATTGCTATGCAAGGACACAACAGAATACACCAAAGCAGAGGGATGTCTCACATACACTGGTTCTATGCTACTCATCCTATGTTCATGTCTGAGGACTGGTGACAGTGATTTACAGTTTAGCAATCCTTCTTCTGAACACAAGGATCACATTACCAAGCGATAAGTGGTGTAGGTTTTAATACACTTAATCAAGCTGCCAAAATCTGCCATAACAGTCACCAATATATGTGAAACAAACCCCAGGCAAAAGAAAAGGCTGAATTTCCCTGTTTTGTCTTTGTTTTAGTAACTTCATTTCAGGAGACCTGCCTGACCTTAGAAGAGGAGTGCCCTAAGTTTCAGAAGGGTATAATATCATACATAAGCCAATTGGTAGCTAACTCTGAAAATGGACATCCATTTGTTTTCACCACAGGATAGTATAATTATGTTTGCTGTTTCTGTCTCATGCTACATTTTGTTTTAAAATATTTGGTATTTAAAATTCTGCATATCCTAACACACTACCCTGAAATCATTTATTATTTGGTTGAGGAAATATATAATCCAGTTGTGGTTGTTGGTGATGGCCTCATATGGCCACTTCAAGCAGTGATAATTTGTATGACTTTTTGTATATTAAACAATTCTTTAATATTGATTCTCTTTGTGGTGTATTAACTGTTATCCTTTCTTTGTAAAGGAAGTGTGCTAAGCAGATACTTACTGTCTTAAATCAACAAGGCAATTTTAGAGTCACATGAAGCTGTTGAAACCTACCACTCAGTAGTTTGTCTGCCAGATTAATCATCTTTATTGTTCCTTCTGGAGAAGTGTCTCTTCCTTTGTGCAAAATATTTCTAGCAGGCAGGCTTATAGTGAGAACTTACGACACTCCCAGGGTATGATTACGCGACCATCACCGTTATTATTGTGCTCTACATGTTAGTAATAGAGTTCAGGCTTTCAGACCTATTTTTTTTTAAATGCAAATTGCAGATTTTTTTCTTAAGCATTTTATATTTCACAGTGCATTTTCTCTCAAAATGTTCTTATAATTATTTTGTGCAGTCCCTTCTCAGTGCTGTTAATTTAAAATTCTTATACGCAATTTTTGCATATCAGCTTGGTTTTTAAAACCATTTGCAATATTTAATTATTGTTAAATAATCAAAAGTATACTACAGGAAAGTACTGTGAGACTACTTAATTTTGATTTCATTGGAATTCAATTACATGTCAGTAGTAAAAAAATCAAAGAACTATGGTATGCAACTACTCAACAAGAATGAGAACTATATTTGGTTCTTTTTATTTTTATAGTAATTTTATAAATTTATAACTTGAAACTATATAAACTAAGAAAAAGCATACACAAAGCAAGATATTTTCAAAGATCCTTTTATACATCATAGGACATTAGCTTGTAATCTAGATACATAAAATAATATAAGTAAAATGATAGTATTTGCTGATGTTGCATTCAATGCTGCAAAGTAGCTCAAGAAACCTTCATGTTACTGAATACATTATGATGATAAAAATACTTTTAAACAAAAATATCAGGATAATCAGATTTCATATTTGTATCTTTGAAACAATATGAAGTATCTCCATTTTTCAATACATTTCCCTAAACAAGTGGAGTTCTTTGCTTATATTAAGCTCTTAGGGAAGTATGTTTATGGGGGGAGGGAGAGAATTCAAACTAACATTTTTACTCAAATGTATTAATCAAAAGTAAATATCACTTTAAAATCAGATGCTTGTTTTCTCTTCTAAAAGCCTACTTGGCAATAAGTCAGATTCCAGACTTTTTGAAATGTTATAATAGCATTACCTGGCCACAGCTATTCTTGCCACACTATATTATTCCTCTTTCTGTACCTGGAGGATGTAGCATACATCATTGAATCATTTCAGTTTCTGCTGTGCATTCAATTTGTATAAAATTATTTAATTGGCAATTTCCTTCCTTTGAGTTAAAAGAGTTGGTGTCCTGTGATATTGCCTTCATACTTTATATTACCACACAAACACATGTAAACGTGAGCAGTTGCAGATTGTGAGATGTAGAGGAAATTGAAGCGGTAATAATGTGATTTTATGAAAGTCACGGGACTCCAAAAGTATATTAGATAGGTTTACAAAAAGAAGAAAATATTTTAATTTTTATTATAATGCTTCAAAGAACAAGTTTATTTTCACTGAATTCTCAGTCATACCCTGTCAATAAAATCAAACCTCACAGGAATTTATTCTGGTTTAAAAAAAAGTGTTTTCACATGTGTTGTTATAATCAATTTGCTCTCTAAAATTCAGTTCATTTTTTCCTCCCAATCAAATTACATCACTTGCTATACAATGAAAAAAAGGGGAAATTTTGAAACAAGGGCTGTTCCTAATCAGACTGTATTACTTACTGTGAGCCAATTTGATTGCATGTGACTATTGCATTAATTTTATCATCATTGTAGGTCATCAAGACAAGTAATGGAGTGTCATCACTAAGTATAATTTTAGGTGAGAAATTGGATTATTTTTTGCTCCCAACATCAGTGGGCATAGTAGAGTTTATGGCATCCTGGCATCCATGAGTTTATATGTCTACTTTTTTGCTATATGCATTTGTCTACATTGTGTGGAAGCAGAACTCCTGATGAAAAACACTAATTCCAATTTTACTGAACATGCATACTTCTATATACAAATATTAAAAAAATAAATCTTTAATTCATTTGTTTAAGTAAAGCTCAAGTGGGTATCAAAAAGGACACGTCGGTGAATGAGCTGGCCAAATTTGCCCCCAAGTATAGGCAAGTATATCACTTCTATCTGCAGATTTGTATGCCAGTCAATAATGTTACTCACAGGCTAACCATAAACCTCACAGAAGCTTGGTGTGGTTTGGTGGACAATCGGCTTTGAAGATGTTCATCTCCTCTGTACTGGTGACCAAAATTAATGTAGAAACCAGGAACAGTTGAAGTGATGAATTCCAGCCTAAGTTAGCAACTCTGTGTATATATTAACTAGAAGACATATTTATGGTGCTCTTATTTTCCCAGACTGAAGACTTAGAAGGGAAAACTCTATTAAAGAAAACCTGTCAAAGGGAGTTAAGGGTCCCTAAAGTTTGCAGCTTTGCCTTTATTTGAATTCCAATGAAATCAAAGGAGATTTTTGTTAAAGTGAAAGCCCTGGCAAGAAAGCTATGACTTGTAGGTACAGTGTAAAATTTGAATGGTATGGTTGAAGTTCAGTCTACTTCCATCCAATACTTAAATAGGGGGTCCTAATTTGGAATTAATCATTAATTGAAATTATTAACTATGTCAATCAATTCTGCTCAAAGTTCAATTTTGAGAGATGGACATTCCACACTAGGGTAAACTTCAAATAGACGTACCAAGGATAAGACTTGAAAGAGTTTATATTGTTTATATAGGAGGGCATGCTCCAGAAAAGAAACATTTTCCAGAATCATACAGTACTGTAATAAATTAACAATATGATTACTAGCATTTTTGTTAGAAACCATTAAGAGTTGCTGTTTCAGTTTAGATATATTTATCCTAAATACTATATATATAGAAATCACTGACCAAACCCTGATGTCATTCTACTATAAAACTTCACTTCCAGC